GGCGTCGAAAACCAAGGGCAACGCTTGATACAGTTAAGGATTTTCCAAATCCAGTGGGTAGATTAATAAAAACATCTCTCTGCTTCTCCAAGAATTGGATTATAGCTTCTTTCTGACGGACATTTAACTCCCAAATACAAAATTTCTGAGACACAAGATCGAAGACCGCAGCGACGTTCGCCATGTTTACATGTGCCCGCGAAATGAATTTGAGGTCAAAGTCCCGTTATACAAAAAATGACAAACGGCCAGTGATTGGCCAGTTCGCCTGAACGGAAGTGGCTACTGGTTGAAGCAGACGTTCGTGGGATAGCCTGAGTATCAGGCCTTCCCATGGGGGAGGGGGGAGGGGGAGAAGAGAAAGGAAGGCCTGACACAAAACCATTCAGCAAATCGTGTGACACATCCAAAATCTGGATGTGGCAGTGATTGGATAACACACAATACCCCCTGACGTCACTGACCGCAAGAGCGATCGGCAAGGAGGCGGTCATTGAAATTTTTCATACACGTTTTGATTTCATTTTACCGGTATGTGATACTTTTACAGACAGAGACGCAGAGAGGAATTCAAAAAGGCTCTAGAGGGCGCTCTCAAGTTCTTTTCTGGAATGAAAATAAAACCCGAGCAAGAATTGTGTTTTCAAGGCCTCGTAGTTTAAAGGAAAGATGTACTCGGAGTATGGAAATGCCTCATATGGTTTCACAAGACCGGGACAAAGAAGACGATATCAGTGTTTCAGATATCTAAGTTCAGATTTACAACATCCTGCCGTTAAAAGGGTATTGTTACTGTAAATGAAAATAGAGCGAGGTAGCCATGTATTGAGATAGCCGACAGCACAAATGCTTTTAAAAAGCTTGACTTTGCTTGTTGCGGTTACGATAGCGTACGTGATTGGAATTCGTTCGCTTCCTCTTCCAAAATTTTCTCGCTTTTGAAATGTCTTAAGCTCAAGCGGGCGCCATCATATTTCGCCAACGAGATTGACCTTTGCTATAGGCTCTCACTTCTTTTTGAACTTGTAACAGCTTTCACGAGCTCTCTGTGAAGTGGTGGAATTTGCTGCTGCTTGATAATTTCTAGGCATAGGTGTTTCATCATCGCACCTTCCTATTTATTCTTGCAGCTCCTTTCAACCACCCGAGAATACGAGGGATAACATCAGCTTTTTACCTGCCAGACAAGCGGCTGATTTAACTCTGTAAACAAAAGCAATTTACAATTTTCCGGGCAGACGTTTATTTACAAACAGAGCGTTGGCGATCTTACACTAGCGCAATTCCCAAAACATGTTATAATTCCTCATAAATGGCAGGTTTTACAGTACAAGTATTCGAAAACTCCTCATTGGAGGTTTCAGAAAAAAGCGAAATCGTAGCAACACAAGCACCGGAGCTCGGCCAGACCGTAAACTGAGATTTATTTTAGGCGAGCTTTTTGACACGTGAAGCTGACAACCCAATGACCGGAAGTGATTTTGATTGGATGGTATCGAGTCATGCTGCGTGGGGGTGGAAGGCTCCAGTAAAAGCATCTGTGTCAGGCGTTTCTCTTCTTCACCTCTCTCCCTTTTTCGCTTCCATCTTTCCCCTTTTCCCCCAGAAACGCCTGATACTCAGGCTATTCGTGGGAGAGGAATGATTGCGTGACGAACCCGTAAGAACGTCTGCGTGGGGTCTAGTTTGTACCAGGCTGTTTTCGTTTCGCCTTGCCCGCCGGAATGTTATTACAAAGCGGAACGAACATTGAGCCTGATCTCAGGGTTGGCGGTTAACTTATGCAAATTATCACCCGCGATACTGACTTGGCAGGAAAATCGAATTCGAGGTTTTCCAGCAAAATTATATCACTTTGGTGGGATTATTAGTAGATAACTGACACATTACATACTATTAACAAAGCAATCAATACGATAAACATTTCAGAGCCAAAGTCAAATGACACACAAGTCACGGCTCGTTCGGTGTATGACATTTGCAGACTACAGACTGCAGACCGCAGACGGCAGACGGCAGACTGCAGACCGCAGACTGCAGACTGCGCTGCAGACTGCAGACTGCAAGACGCAGCAAGACTGTAAATTGAATGAAACCAAAAATACCGTAATATATGTGGCGTCATCATCAACATTACCTTGTTCCGAAAAGTAAGGCCTAGTAGCGAAGTTTATATTTTTCACGCAAATTACACCGACCTCATTCCTAAAGGAGCTGTTGGCTGTTCTTTTCGTATTGAATTAGAGCAGAATAATGTCTGCCGATGTCACAAACTTGCTCATGAATCCATAGCAACATTTTAGCATTTTAGCCTGCACCACAGACAAAACTAAACTATAAGTCTGTCTGTGAAACAGCGCCGGAATCCCTTTTCTACGGAGGCCCCACCTGTGTACTAGGACTTGAGTATGAGCAATGATTGCCTAGTTAGAAATTCAAAATACACTTCTGGTAATTCGTCGAGTCCAGATAGGATCTGTTCGTTTTCGATTATTTGGCATATCCCTAAATACTGCTAAGATGAAATACGTCATTTAAAAGGTGTTAAATGTCCTTGATCTATCCTACGAAGCGGCTCGCAATCTAAAAACCTTTTTTTACAGACTACTATTTAGACAGGCATTAGTGGGCATTGCTACTTGTCATTATCAATTCACGATTATCAAAGAAGAATAAAGAATCAACACAATTAGTGATATGCCGGGTGAGTTGATAAAGGGTCGGTGAAGAATAGCCAACAGCATTTTGGGAATGAGGCCAATGTAACTTTGCACAAAAATATCAACCTTGTTCCCAAGGCTACTTTCTCACTTTCACACGATTTTATATTTTTGAAGACGTCACCTTTGTTAGGAAGATTTTTGGTGTCATTTAATTTACAATCTGCAATCTGTGGTCTGCAGTGTGCAGTCTGCAGTCAGTCTGCGGTCTGCGGTCTGCGGTCTCCAGTCCGCAAATGTCATACACCGCGGTTCGTTTAGGTCTCATCCACCATGTAGTAATGCATGTCTCGGTCGCATTTATCTTCAGCGCATATCTACAAAGTTTCCTTTGACACTGACACCCTGCCAAATTACTGCGGCCGCTTATGACGGGCGGAAAGATATTTTTCCTTACCGTGCATCAAAATGGTACTCTGTTGGATTCTCTTCCATGTCCAACACAGTCTTCAAGGTAATGTATCTTAGTCGCGAAATGTTTCACGTCACAAGCGCAGCACTGATTTTATAATTCTTCTTTTCCCTACATAAATATTAGAATCTTCATAAATTTGTGTAAGTTTCATTAAGCATGAAATCAGAAAAACAGTTTACTCAATCCTATGTACATTAAGAAAGAATTCGAAAGTGCCATTTGATCTGTCCGGTTGGACAGCTTGCTGATCAAAAAGTTTCAAAGCCGACTTGTCTTCCTGAATTTGTATGAAGGCCTTGCTCCAAACGGAGAACAAGTCAACATGGCGAAATTGAATTACCACCGGAGTCGATGAAGCTGAAGTCTGAGTCAGATTTTTGGAGGCACTTTCTTGTTTCGTGTCATGCAAGGTGGTACCCTGGGTGCCAGAGACTTTTCTAGCGCGGTTTCCGGTTTCTGTCAAGTCTTTATAGTGACCCGCGCGAAAAGTTTTTCTCGCGGCTTCGGCCTACGGCCGAAGATGTGTCGGCCTTCGGCCAACACCGAAAATTATCGCCGCACGCGAGAAAAACCTCTGTTACCCAGGGTAGCAATGTGGGAGACTAGGTGGGAGACGCTTATTTTGTCGAACATACTTACATTTTTTTGTTCTAACTTTGTGGGATTATTTGACGCAGGGGGCCAGTCACACAATACGGTTTACGCTCTTCATCGTTCGCCCTGGTATCTACTGTATGACCGTGAGCAGGTCCTGTAAGGGGTAGCCTCCCACGCAGACGTTCTAAGGGGTTCGTCACGCATTTCTGGCCCACGAACGTCGACGTTCGTGGGGCAGGAACTCGTGACGAACCCCTAAGAACGTCTGCATGGGAGGCTATGTAAGGGGAAGCGGGTTTTGCCAAATCCCCGGCACAAGAGATTGCGGCACATAAAGAATTTGCACAAAAGGAGACTGGGCGCAAAGCAGATATTTCGTATGACTGCATCAAAGTCTTTCCTCAAGTAGCCTACAATCTTTATTCTTAATGTCAATTTAGGGAGCATGAAAAAATTCTGAAATGCTAACGATTTGTTTGGTTAAGCTCATTTCAATTCTGCTTAATTATAAAGTAAAAGGTATATTTTTTATAATAAATTAAATTACCACGGGATTTTCGTGGGAAAGCCAACCAAAAAATTATATTTCTCTGAGAAAAAAAAAGGAAAAACACTCGGCTGACATAAAGGTTAATAAAGCTTACGTAAATTCTTTTTGTCTTTCACTTTGCATGAGATGGAAGTGCCGCCAAAAATTCTTTAGGACCTTCAGCTGCAATACTTAGAAATGTCCGGTAATATCTTTAGCACACTGATTAACGGTGGAAATATATTTTGTTAACAATAATTTCACCTTGTTCTGTATAGAAGCAAGGCGTCTTCAGGAATTCATCAAAGATTGAAGTCTCGGGGGTTCTCAACAAAAGTTTTTGCAGGGAGGCTCCGCCCCGAGGTCCAACCCCTTACCCTCCATTTTGGACAGAAAACGTACCCCTTTCGTATATCTTCTGTCGGCAATGGTACCCCTTTCACATGCCCGATTTAGAGCTTTGCATCCCTCTTAACTGCTGTAAAACGGAAAGGAATGCGATCTATAGGAACCATCTAACGTTCTTGCTTGACTTCGTCCCCATGACATTAAAAGAAAGAAACCGGCGAACAAAAGTTGCGAAAATTTACTATTTTGGCATGCAAAATTGCATCGAGTGCCCGCGGATTTTTAAGCATAAAATGGTTCACAAAGGGTGAAATATTTACATCTTGTTTCAATTTTGATCTAAATCGGAGTGCTAGTAAGAAACAAATGTGTTCAAAAATGTCTATTTTTA